AGGGTGGGGTTTAGTTGTTCAAGATCAAAAGGACTTGGCTTGTTTACTGAGAGGAAGGTAGGGAGTATTTACGTTTGGAGACAATGACTGCAGTTCCTGAATACACTGTGATTAGATACTAGGGCTCTGATTTTCATTTCTGGGTCAGGAAAATAGTGGGGACTTTTCTTGGCTTTGTGAGTCTTACCAGGGAAAATCTGATGCTTGAGTTCAGAGGGAGGCTGTAAACCTGAGACCAAAAATGAAGGCTGCCAGCTGAAGCAAGACTTGCCTCCGTGCATGCAGTGTGTGGAAAATTAATAAAATACTAATGAAAGCAAACAATCCTCCAGCCTTCACCCCCCATGACCATTCCCTCCAAAACACATTCACCATGACACATCCATGCTAACCCAGGCCACTTAATTGCTCCATAACCATCATATGTTTCTCTACTCACTCCATGCTGCCTTATATCTGTTATGCCAGCCTATGCCCCCCTATCCAAGCCCATGGACACATGCTCAACATACAACTTAATGCCCTGAATCCACTATCACAAACCCTACGCAACCTAATGTTCTTTACCAAGCCCTGTAACTGCTCTTACCCTATGCCCCTGCACCACTGCCTGTTCCCCCATACCCTCCATGCCAACCATGACTCCAAACATGACCATTTGCCTTACCCATTTTCAATGCCAACTGATCTCCATCATGTGTAAACCTGTGACATAAAAGAAACATGTAACATAAAGGAAAGTAAGTGACTTTGATGGTATCGCAATTAAAAAAAAGACTTTCATTGATAAAAATTGAATACATTGAAATTCCTTCAAACTATGACTTTTTAAAACAAACATTTGTATTCTAAAATTATTTGGAGATATCAAACAACTGTTCCCTTAACTGTCACCCCACTGTGGTAATGTTAGGTTGGAAAATCTGTCATGCAATGCAAATCCAATAATGATAACCCCAGACTCATGTTAACAGATAGCAACAACTGATTTTCCTTTAAAAGTAAAATTTCCACAGCATATTATTTTGAATTTAAAGCCCAGAAGAGAGAAATCATTTGATAGTTTTGACAGATCTTTGACAGCTTCGACAGTTCTTTGAAAATTTGATAATTCCAATAGATGTATCTACTTTTTAGGCACATTCTTTTAACAATCTAAGGTGCATAAACACATTCTTCCAGCCGCCCCCCACCAAAGGATGCTGACTGGCTCCAAAAAGTGTTCTGGTGTGTTATACAAAGGAGTAGCTCATCTCTGCAAAGAGCTGTTCTGGCCATCTAAATGAATCCACAAATTTCAGAACTGCTTTTAGCAGATCAAATGTGCATACTCTGGTTTCAATACTGCAACAATGTCAAAAGCCCACTTCAGTGGAGGCAGCTGATGATTTAAATGGACAGCTGTCTTGGTGAAATGTGCATGCACAAACTCAGCCTGACTCCACACCAATAGCATTCCCCCCCTTTCTCCTCACCCCCCACCTCCAAACACCCATAAAAATGGAAAAAATGGGAACTGTACTAGTGATTCCAAGTCCATACAACCACTTTTGACATGATGGAGAAGTTCTCTGTCACATTATAAATCTGGGCCTTGGTCTCCTAAAGTCTCAGAATAGTGTTAAAGGTATCAATTTGTACTTAGTGATGTTGCAAATTATCCATTGTCTTCTAAGATAAAAGGTGGGATCAAAGATAAATAATTAATGATAAGTAAATTTTCTCTCTATTTAGAGAAAAAGCTAATGCATTTCCCATTGCCATGAGGAAGAGGGTTGAAGTAGCCATTTTGAGATGAAATTTCCTTCTAAATGCATAAATATCAAGGCAGACATCAAAATATAGATTTGTGTGGTATGGCCTGCACTGTTCCACCTAAGGAATAGAAAGAAAAATCTAGAGATCTGCATCTTAAACAGAAAAACTTCTGACTCTATCATCCATGGCACAAGTTTAGATGTGAGTTTCCACCTAGATTGAAGACTGAGTTTTGAAAAGACAAATAAAGCTGGAAGATTTACCTGGCTTGAAGCTGGAGGAAGAATGCACATTGCAACAAACACCAAATTCTAGGAATTTGCACTTTAGGAAGGATATGATTGTACTGGAGGGGATGCAGAACAACTTCACTGGGACATTGCCTGTAATGGAACAGTTTAACTAAGAAGAGAGGCTGAATAAGATTGGATTTATTTTTTAAAGCAGAGAAGTTTGAGGGGTGACCTGATTGGGGTGTATAGGATTATAAGGTCCATGGAAAGAGTATATCAGAAATAACTGTTCCCCTTGGTTGAAGAATCAATAACAAAGGGGCACACCTTTAAGATGAAAGGTAGAAGGTTTAGAGGGGATTTGAGGAAAAACATTTTCACTCAAAGAGAGTGGGGAATCTGCAATGCACTGCCTGGGAGGATAGCTGAAGCGTGAAACCTCACAACTTTTAAAAAATACTTGTCGTAACATTTAAGGCTATGGGCCAAGGGTTGGAAAGTGAGACTCGTGTAGACTTAGAGTAATTTTTTGTCAGTGTGGACTTGAAGAGTTGAAGGGTCTCTTCTGAACTGTATGAATCTACGAAATATTTTTTAAAGTATAAGTGATCTGTAAAAGAAAATAATTTTAGGCCCAAAGTGTTTTTAAATCATTGAATATGTTAAAAGTTTTGCAACATGAAATCTTGATGTGTTATTGTTTGAGCTGTTAACTGGAGGTTCAAATTTCTCCTTAAAAATTATCGATGTCTGCAAAGAAGGTAACAAGACTTTCTGCTTTTCTGGGAATGGAAGAAAAGCCAACTTGGCAGTCAGCCAAAAATTTGTGAGAGCTGTGCACCACAATGCACACCCGAAATTACAGCTCAGTAACGCTTCAACAGTTCGGGTATCAGGCTTATGACCAACAATAACAACCTGCATTTTTAGATAGCACCATTAACCTAGCGAAGAGTCTCAAGGAGCTTAACAGGATTATAATGAAACATAGACTGATGCCAAGCCAAAGAGACATTAGGACAAGTGAGAAAACTCTTGGCGAAAGAGGTACATTTCTAATGCAGAGATAGTAGGAACTGCAGATGCTGGAGAATCCGAGACAACAAGGTGCAGGGCTGGATGAACACAGCAGGCCAAGCAGCATCATAGGAGCAGAGAGGCTGACGTTTCGGGCCTAGACCCTTCATCAGAAAAGGGGGAGGGGAAGGGGGTTTTGAAATAAATAGGGAGAGAGTGGGAGGCGGATAGAAGAGGGATAGAGGAGAGGATAG